CAAGCATTCTAGCTTGCTCAAGAATACAAATTATTTATAAGGCTCAATTTTACTGATTTCTAAATAGCTTATGTACACAAATATAAACTGCAGAGTATTAATTATAAATAGGCTAGTCTAGCCACTTTCAAAGATTCTAGATCTGGCTTGAAATAGGCTAAGCTATAAACACTGATGGTAACGGCAAAAACATGTAAACAAAGAAGAAAGCTTATTAACTCATCATCACAAATTTATTATACAAATCATTAAGAAGCTATATCAAATAGTTAAAAATAAAAATATACATATATAAAAAAGGATTCAGCTGTATATAAAATTAAGCTTCAACAAGTTTAAATATTTTATTTGTTTTATTTTTCCCACTCATTTATGGAAAATCATGGTCACACTATATATGAAATGAGTAGTATCGTTTGAAAACTACTTGTTGCTGTCATAGCAACGGTAAAAAGCGTAAACAGAAAACTGAAAAAAGTTTCAAACTCTGCAAAATGCAGCAAGAGTGCAAAAATTTCCGGAAAAACCATGCTGCTATAGAAGTTTAATCTTTGAAAATGTCGTTCGAGAAGATATTGTACAAATATGATGAGCCGCACGGCATTGGCGACGTCTACTTCATTTGGCAGAAGAGTGCCGGCGCTTTGCTGGCCACAACAGGCACCGATGGTTCCGTAGCTCTATACAATCGCCAAGGCCAGCTGGTGCAGCGCCTCATATTAGCCGGGTAACATTGATATATGCTTATCAATATATTTATTGTAAATTGCCCATTTCAGTCTATGCTCTGGTTTTGCTTGGGATTGCGAGGGAGATCTATTGGGGATCATTACCAGCAGCTCACCGAATATCACTCTTTGGGATTATGCGACCCAACAAAAGCTGACTGTCGAGTCTGGACTACGGGATCCGCTCACCTGCATCTTGTGGTCCAAGCAGCAGCAGATTTTGGCTGTAGGCACTGGACGTGGCAATTTGGCCATCTATAATCATCGCAGTGGAAAACGAACCCCGGTGATTGGCAAGCACAACAAGCGCATTACCTGCGGCGCATGGTCAGCACAGAATCTGCTTGCTCTCGGCTCTGACGACAAAAGCTTCTCACTGAGCACCGAAGATGGTGATACGGTGCGCATTGTTCAACTACGCGATGCTCCCTCCGATATGTACTTTGCAGAGATGGCGAATGATGAGCGCATAGCGGGCGACAATGCCATTAGCATGATCATTGGCAAACGCACGCTGTTCCTGTACTATCTGCCGGAGCCGGAGAATCCAACAGAACTCGGCTTCCAGAGTCGCTATGGTTCGCTGCTGCAGCACAAATGGTTTGGCGATGGCTACATACTGCTAGGATTTTCCAATGGCCATGTTGTGGCTATTTCGACGCATCCCAAGGACGTTGGCCAGGAGCTGTGGCAGGTGCGAAACCACAAGGATACGCTCACCGGCTTGGCCTATTGTCCATCTCTGGATATTGTTGCCTCCTGCGGCGATGACAAGTTAGTTGCTCCACATTTATTCACTGAAGCATTTTTCACTCTGACTTCTTCATCTACACAGTATCAAGATCCACTCGATTACTAATCTGCAGGAAACGGAACGAATTATCACAGTGCCGGATCATGCGAGCGTACAAATGATTGATTGGTCACCAGATGGACAGCTCCTGGCAGTCACTACCAGTGGAGGCACTGTGTACACCTATGTAACCAAGCTGCCGCACATGTTTGCCGTGTCGGCTCCACGTCTGGTCATGTTGAGCAGCCTGGCGGAAGTTTCTATTTACGTCTATGCTCCAGATAAATCAAAAACATTACCTTTTCGCCTGCCCTTGGAGACGGAGCCTTCATTTCTGGCCATTGGCCCGTATACGTTTGCTGCTGGCCTGGACAAACATGTCTGGTTCTATGACCTGGGCAAGACTTTAGGCGATGAGCCGCGTCCACTCAGCGAACGCGATCTGCCAAACGATATTGTGGCTATGAAATTGAATGCGGATTACTGCGCTGCCCTTTGCCCACCACAGTTGATACTGCAAGCAATCGCTGCGGATAATCCCAACTGCAAGGATAAGCTGCAGGCATGCTTTCCCAGTGCACTGCCCTCCTCCCTGCCCAGCGATGCTGTCATCACATGCTTTGCTCTCAGTCCGGAGCTGCTCATCTTTGCAACGGATGTGTGTAATAGGGAAACTACTTTTTGCTATTTGCTATTTATGGTGTTTGCCCTTTCAGATTGGCCACCTGGTGTTTTACTCGCTGGAGAAGTGGGATACGTGCACTATCTATCGTCATAGCAATGGTATACGCCAGCTTTACACAGACGTCGAGGGCACCAAAACAATTTTTATTGATGAACATGGCCAGGGCTTTGTCTATTTGCCCGCTTTGGATCAGGAGGCTCTGCTCATTGCGGAGCTACCCAAACAGTGCTTGGGATGCCTGTGGGACTTGACTCAATCGAACATTTTCATTAGCTACGACTCCCGCCTGGTTTATACGCATGTCTTCACGCGTCACTCCGTGCGTGGCAGATACAGTCAGAGATTGGGTGAGTCGAAGCTAAATCCTGGCCAGGTGCCCCTGCTGGTCTGTGCGGGTGAGATGGCCTTGCACATCGATGGCGGGCAGTATGCAACGCAGTGCTTGAGCACACATGTCATCAATCCCACAAATAGTCAAACGGATAATCTGCTGCTGCTGCTGAAGCTCAAGAAATATGACGAGGCCTACAAGCTGTGCGAGCAGATGCAATTGGACAGCGCTTGGCGTCAATTTGGCGAGCATGCCATCGCCGATCTGGAGCCGGAAATTGGTTAACTATGAATTATATAATAATGTTTTCTTAAATCTAAATATCATTTATCTCTATATGAACAGCTCTGCGCGCTTATCGTCAATTGGGCGATGCTGCTTTAGTCAATGCGCTGGACGAATTGGTCTATGTCGAGGATTTGCATATGTTGTGCGGCTGCTGTTGCATGCTTCTGGGTCAGTACGATCAAGCCAAGGAGTACTTGTTGAAAGGATCGTATACACGCGCTGCTCTGGATCTAAGCAGGGATTTGCTGCAATGGGATCAGGCGTTGCTCTTGGCGCACAAATATGAACCGAATGAGGTGCCTTACATAGCGCGAGAGTATGCTCAACAATTGGAATTTACGTAAGACGGGAACAATTCTCTGTAAAGATGCGTTTTTGAAGAGTTTTTTCTCCTAGTGGCAACTATGCGGATGCTTTGTATCACTACGAGAAAGGTTACAAGGAGGATCTGATTAACAACGAGGACTCAGAGCCGCCCACTTTGCTGCACAGCACACCGGAATACGAGGAGCATGTGCGTCTCTGCAAAATGGGCATTGCACGCACCTCCATACGTGCGGGCGATTTTCGACGTGGCGTAAGGAACTTCACATTGTTTCACACAGTCTTTATAATATTATTCCATCCAGATTCAATATGCTGTGGAGCTGCAGGACAAGCAGCTGCTCTTCGACTGCGCCGAGCTGCTGGCCACTGTGGGTCACCTCACAGAGGCGGCCGGACTTTACGAACGTGGCGGCTACTACGATGAGGCTTGCGGGCATTATATTTCTCTGAAGATGTGGCACAAGGCTAACAATATATTGGGCCATGTGAAGAGCAGCAAATTACATGCAGCCTATGCCAAGGCCAAGGAAGCGGACGGACAGTTCGAGCAAGCCATAAACAGCTACCGTATTGCTGGAGATTTGGATGCGTGTGTTAGAATCTATCTAGATCATCTCTGTGATCCACATGCTGCCTCCGAAATAGTCCTCGAGTCACGCTCAATGGACGCAGCCAAAATGCTGGCCAAGTTCTATCAGAAAATCAACGATATCGATCAGGCTCTACAGTTCCTCGTCATTTGCGGCTGTGTGGAGGAGGCCTTTGCTCTGGCTCAGCGTCATAATAAGCTGCGTCGCCATGGCGAACTGCTGGAGCGCTATGAGAATGCCAAATCTGCAGATTATCTGGCACTGGCTCATTATTTTGAGAGCGAGAAATATACGCTGCTAGCGGGAAAATATTATTTTCTGGCCAGAGAATTTACCAAGGCTCTCCGATTCCTGCTCAAGGCCTCTGCTTTCAGTAATGAGGAATCGCAGGCACTATCGCTGGCCATTGATTGCGTGGCCACCTCCAATAATGAACAGCTGGCCACGCAGCTAATTGAATTTCTGCTGGGCGAACTCGATGGTGTGCCCAAGGATCCTCGATATCTGTTCCGCTTGTATATGGCGCGCAAGCACTTCAAGGACGCGGCTAAGACAGCCGTTATTATAGCCAATCAGGAGCAGATTTCGGGCAATTATAAATCTGCAAGAGACTTACTTTACTCCATGTACCAGGAGCTGCGTCGCAATAATCTCTCGGTGACTGCTGAACTGCGGCACAATTTGATATTGCTGCATCGCTATACGCTCGTGCGCATCCATGTCAAGCTGGGCAATCATCTGCTGGCTGCCAAGCTGCTCGTTCAGGTGGCTGCCTGCATCTCACAATTTCCAGAACGTAAACTAGATATTTAAATTTTAGTATAATATATATATTAAATCTTGATTATCCTCAGATATTGTGCCCATACTGACTTCGACTGTTATCGAATGCCATCGCGCTGGCCTAAAGAAATCCGCTTTTACCTATGCCTCGATGCTCATGCGTCCCGATTATCGCAATCAACTGGACGGGCGTTATATTAAGAAGATCGAATCAATTGTCCGCAAGGCACCGAAGGGCATCAAACAGCTACGCGATGAGATCGACGACGAGACAATGGAATGTCCCATCTGCGATGCCAATCTGCCCAACATGGAGGTCACCTGCTACAGCTGCAAGACTACGCTGCCCATTTGCATTGCAACGGGTCAGCACATCATCAAAACTCAAATGACATCCTGTCCGCAATGCGATTTTTTATGTTTTCGCGGAGAGATGGAGAAGTGGGTCTACCTTATATATATATATAAAGATGACTTATAAATATAATATATACTTTATATTTGCTTATAGCATTCTGTCGGAAACTGGAGACTGTCCCATGTGTGGCGAGCGTGTGGCTCCTGAGCAGCTCCTGGATGTCGAAGATATACGTCCTTATATACTGGCTGCCACCTAGACTATACATCATTTAGTACATAATACAGATAGACTGCACGGAACACCAAATAATATTTGATAAGTTATTTAGGGCATTTTATAACAATGCTGCATAGCACCAATTACACCTGGATACAAAACACAACATGGATTTTCAATTTAGTTATTGAGTTTACAAAGATCTTTCGATACTTTACTTACATCTCAATTATGCTTACATATACAATTCTTGATAAAGCTTGTCCATGACAGGATCACAGATATTAATGAGATATATAGTCATTTGAGGCTTGACTTCGCAGGATACAGTACTCGCTGGCTTAGATCATTAGAAAACAGTTTACCCAAATGATACAAATAGTATAAAGCACTTGCTTTCCTTCATTCCTTGACTGAAGACCTAGGCAAAGAAAGATTATTATAAGATGATTTCATAGCAACCAAAGTACTTACATTTTCACAAGCAACCCAAATTATTTCTGTATTGTTGTCTCCAGTATTCAGAAGACCATTGAAATGCTCAACTCAACTCATTTATTTCTAGAAAAATTAACAATTTCAATACGACCTATTCGCTTAGAGCGCATTGCTTTTAAAATTACATTCCACGCTTTGTGGCCTGTATGTCACAGTCAGGCAGGCTTTTTTTTAGGCTTCTGGCCACTTCATCTATATCCTTGACGAAAGGCATATCGAAGATAAGCAACTGCTTCAGATTTTGCAGTTGGCCTATGATGGCCAAGCCGGAGTCCCTGATATTATAACAGCCGGATACCTGTAGATGAGTTAGCGACTGGCTGATGTATGCCAATCCCTCTAGGCCGTCGTTTTCCAAATGCTTGCATTTGTGAAATATAACGGTGTCTATGTTTTTGCAGCCTTCGAAATGGTGCAAGCCAATTTTCATGATCGATGAATTGGTGGCGTCCACAACTTTAATACGAAACGGTACATTCTCCGCCGGCAGATGATTGTAATCCTTCCACAGTTTTGTTGGATTTTCAGTGAAACGTACACCTCCACCATTTTTTAATATCCATTCGGCGCAGAGGCGATTCGGACCCACCTTTGACAAACGATCCTTATCCACCTGGTTGAAGGCCACAGCCACATAGCCCCATATCCTGCGTACTATTGGTATTGATATCGGAGTTATAGTTTCTGTATGTGGTGTGGTAACACTACACCAGGAATTTGGTTGAAAGCCATTGCCAGTCGCTTGTGCTATTGATAAACGTTTTGGAAGAGATTTTGTAATCGTGTGTAAAACAGACATTGTCATAAACACAACAGATGTTTTTATTAGCACAGCCCTGTCTTTGATTCGCCTTTGCCGTTAAACAGGTGTTTTTAGCAAGCCGCACAATACAGCCCTGTGCGTTATGCAGCCCTCGTGCAAAACAAACTTATATTTGTTTCTTTGCTTTAATGGATTTAATGGTCCCTATATTTAAAAGCAAATTAGCCATTTTTGTTATTTGATTGAGCCAAAAAAGTTATTTTCAATAACATTTTTTGAAACTTGTCAGCCCTGTTAAAGCAGGTCTGACTGTTGTCGCAGCGTAGCGCAGCTGAACATTCACACACTCTCAACTTATCGATATAATATTTACAATCAGTTCTCGTTTAGTTGTCATAGCGTGAGGTTGTCGAGTCGGGAGAGTGCAAGCGTTTCTTCTCGCTTAATTAATCGAAAACAAAAGCGCGTGTATGTTCCAAATCAATATAAAACTAACTAAAAACATAAAATAATTAAATGCAAGTGTATTGCATATGTGTGATAACACATAATAAGCAAAATGCATTGCCTTTTGTGCAGGCAACAAAATTCTAATAGTACAAGTGAGAACTTCTACACAGCGATTGAGAAGAGAGAGAGTGAGTGAACAAGAGCGCCTGCGAGAGCGAGCATAAAATCACAGTCACAGCAGCAGCAATAACAAAAATAAATACAAACACACTAAAATGTACGTACATAGTAGTTTTTAAGGCATTTTAACTTTTTACGTGATATTGTTTTGTTACGCATTTATTTTCTGTAAGTCTAGTTGGCGGCAACAATCAAAACAATCAAACGAAAAACCAAATTCAATCTTGATAGGCATGCACCACATACACACTCACACACAAGCACACATATGTAGATATGCATGCACGCATACATGTGAATGTATGGCAGGCGCGCATTAAATAAAAATAAATTCTGCCGCTGCGTTTGCGTTTAGTTTATTTTGTGAGTACGTGCGTGTGTGTGCCTGTGTGTGTGTCGGTGTCAGTGACGTTGCGGCGCTGCCTCAGTCGCTGTCCCGCTGTCTCACTAGCTGCTGCCCGCTGCCAACGCGCGCGTCAGCATCGAACGTGTTAAAGTGACGAATAAACAACACAGAATCGTTCACTAGAAAAGATACGACAAATAGACATATAGACAGACAGACAGTCAAACATTTGTACATTTCTTTCACACAAACACACATCCAATCACACACACAGACACGCTGTGCCTTTATAGCCGCAGCAGACATTTTGGCTGCTCCGTTCGCGCAATTTGTTTATATGAGTGCAACCGCAACGTACCCCTACCCCACCCGCTCTCTCTTAATACCGTTTGCTAGGTGTGTAAATGCCCCCACCTCCCACGCCTCCCCCACCAACAACTCTATTGCCATACGTTTCAGCCAGCAGTTTTCATTCACGCTAATTTTGCCTTCACTTCTATTTATATGCTCATTTTGAATAAACTTATGAAAAGGGTATATTGAATTTGTCAGCATTCATGTTGCAGTTTGTTTAATTTAGATTATATAATATGAATTGCTAAGCTTATCCTAAGGTCGGATTCCTAATGTTTCTGCCAGCAGCACTTTACAGTTGTTTATGCCTTTTCCTATATAGCCCAGTTCCTATTGCCTTTCTATAGGGCATCTCGCTGTCGACCTCTGTCGCCTGTAGCGCTTTTACTTGTTTTCTACTTCCACTTTTGTTTTGTTTTTGTTTTTTTTTTTTTTTTCGTCTACTCCTGAGGCACCCAACTGTGTATATGTGTGTGTGTTTGAGTGTGATTGTGTGTGTGCGTGTGCCAAGATGAAGAATGATATGCAGCAATGTTAGATGATAAATAGCGCGCTATATTAAATGATTTATTTTGCCTGCCTGCGTGCCCTCTCTTTCCCTCTGCCTCCCCACCTCAGGTTCATTGTGCCCGTTCGCTCGCTCGCTTTGCATCTCTCTCTCTTGACCGTAGCTAAAGGCAGTCCATCTATGGACTAATGCTAATGCCTATGCTGTGCTTTCAATCTGTATATCTTGCCGTTGCCGTTGCCTTCGTTGTTGTTGTTGTTCTTGCTCCCATTGTTGCTGTTGTTGCTCTGGTAATTGATCAAGCAATTGTACAAATCCACGGACGGTACAGTCGGTACAGTGCGCCTTTCATTCAGTTTAATAAATCTGAACGCAAGTTCAAGAAATCTTAATCTGCTCTAAACGATCTCACATGCTTTTTATCCTCAACTATTTTTCATTTGTAAATTTCAACTGCATAATAGCTTCAGCATTACAAGATTGCAATCTTAATTCGTTTATTAGAGGAAATCTAAGCGTAAATCATATAACTCAGATTTGAATAAACTATATTATAAATGACAACATTATATATATCATAAAATGTCATATATTATCTACATTTTCTATCGATTGTACTAATTTTTGAAATCAACTTAAAACAAATTAATATTAATAGAATAAAAATGTAATTTAAATTGATATTGTTATACACTCTTAATAGAAGTAAACTTTCAGAAATATATAAAAAGGCAAAGAAATCAAAGATTTTATATTTGTATACTTATACTCTATAGCAAAAAACATCTTGTTTTAAGTATTACTAAATTCAATGCAAGCTTCCAGCTATTTCTCCTCTTTTATCTTACATATATAATATATAGTTATTTCCGGATTGTACTTATTATAAAATTGTTTAGATAAATCAATTGAAATGCCATTTGCTGGATGCTGTTGATTCAAATATTTCAACAATTATTTCATTTACTGTTGGGGATTTTATTTCTCCACTAATCGCATATCATTTCCACAGCATTTCCACTGGCTTTAATCGTTTGCCACGGTCGACAGCGATACACAGAGAGAGAGGGAGAGAGAGAAGAAACATGAAAACAATTTTTTAAAAATCTGATTTTTTGTGCCATTTATGCGGCTTTTTTTTTATTTATTTATTTCTATCAAATTAGTTATAATTACACTTAATGCAATTTAGTTATGAGGTTCTCTTTGGTTGTTGTTGGTGCTTTCTCTCCCTCTGACTGTTCGTGCTGGTTTTATTTTATTTTTTTCTTCTTCCTCGTCTGTTCGCTCTTCGGGGGGTTTTCACGATTTGTGCAAGTTGCATTTGTTGTTGTTGTTGTTGCGGCTGTTGCATTTGAAGCTTTAGAAAAAACGTTTTTTTGTTACAAGGGCTTGGCATATACCACATTAGCACACACACTTACATACACATATAATGAGGGTGCCACAGAGAGTGTGATGCGAGGGAGGGAGAAGGAATGCCCCTGCTGTTTCTATTGAGCACACGGCGAGGTGTTAATGCATTCTGGATTTCTAGATTTTTGTAGTTGGTCTGATAATTTTTAACCGCATTCTGAGTACCTTGTGCTGATTCCTCTTCTTCTTTTTCAACGTCTACTTCTACTTGGTATTTAATTTATTTTATTTTTGTATTTTTTATTGCATATTGTTTGCACTCAACCAAGATTCGTAATGTGCTAAAACATTTATGAATTAGCGCGAAAGCCACGTTCCAAGTATAAAGATTTGCTTAACGATCGTGTCGAGAGAACTGGAAAAAACGTTACTTGGATGAAAAAGTGTAGATATGGCTTGAAAATAAATGTATATAATATGTATATTTACTTATATAAATTTATTTCTTATATGTTTAAATTGTATATATGCAAAATTATTTTATTTATACTTTAATCAAGTTTTCAAGCGACATCATTTTTAATCTTTACTTGAAAGAGCAATTAATGAGATATGATAAATATACACATAGAAACAAAAAAATTAGATTTCTAAATTTAAATGAAATATTTTTCTGGTATATTTAGCGATTCTTATACGCCGAAAAAATGTTTTATATATAAATATATTTGTGTATAAATATATGTATAACAATTTGTATGTCAGCTGTATAATATATATGTAATATATATATATAAATATATAATAGATAACTCAAACATATTTTTGTCTAACATCATAAAAAGTGTGGTATTAAATCAATTTTTATATCATCTACATTTTAAAAACATTTTGATATCCATCATTTATTAGACAAGGTTTATTATATACTATATATACCGATTCATTAAAAATAGTATATATGTGATATATACTAAGTATAACTATTAATTAATTTATGGCAAATTTCATTGGGAAGGTTATACGGTAATACTAAAAAAATAGTTTTACTATAGATAAATTCATTCGTTATCAGCTATGTGATATACTAACGGATATTACTTCATATTTTAAAATATGCAAAAAAAAAAAAAATAGAAAATAACACCTTATCATATTCATATTTTCTTATCTAGTATGTATATAATATATTGTCTTTTTATATGTGTATAATATATTTTTGTTGGTTTTTTTTCTTAGATATATGAATGCATCTCTTCCATATGTATATCATTTTTATGTCGATTTGTTTCTGACAAATATCTATCCCAGATTATGTATATCCCATGTAGCTCGATCTCTCTTTCTCTTCTTCCATCTCAGAGCTTCAAATTCAACTTTATATATATAAATATATATTTCTGTACTCTCCCAGCTAATCTTTGCCTTCTTCCCTAGCTTACACATTGCCTGATCAACCTATAAGACCCAGCATGCCTATTGTGGAATAGGAATTTATGATTCATATTGCACGCAATTTATGATGCTCGCAAAACACAACTAAGAGGATTAAAAATATGATTTATGATTTCCTTCTTAAGAGGATCTAACCATAGCCAATCCAATAGCTAGAGAACTGCAGCTTCATCATCCGTGCGAAGATTTCAAAGGAGTCGCTTGCTCTCTGGCTAACTTTGATTATATGAATGATGCTTAATATGCCATGAAATTGTTTGGCCTCATTGCTTATTATTGTGAACATTATGATTGTTATTAGCAACGAAACCTCAGCTAGATTTTCCATATCATTTAACACGTGCAAAAAACAATCAGTTGAAGTCGTTTTTCCAGCTAAACACGAGTTGCGGCTTGGCCTTATGCTTTATAGATGTATATGTATATATATATTTATTTATATATATATATATATATGTATGTATGTTTGCATGTCTATATGGTTTGTTAAGGTGTATCCAAGGGGCCTCAAGGTGTGAATTCTAGTTAAATTCAATATCATAATATGCGCATCGTATGCATATGGGGCCGTCAATTTTCTTAGCCAAGATTATATCAAAAGGAGGGTAGAGAGCTCATAA